TAAAAGGTAATCACCATTTTGTTTCTGTTGAACCGCAGACAGGGGGCTTGCTATCTTTGCTTCTAGGTCTGCTGCTGTAGGCTTGTCGAGCTTGGGGCTCGACACTGTGCTCCCTCCCACACATTTTTTATCTACCATGCAGGTCCCATGGCACAGCCCAGGAAACCCCTTTGGCATATATTCAAAATCTAGCCAGTGTTGTTTCCTGTGTGTGCTGGGGGCTGGTTCTACGGTCCCACATCGTTTTCACCATGAGACTTGAGTTTGTCTTGTGTGGATGTTTTAAAACTCATGTGGCATTTCTTACCATTTGAATCTGTAAACCTGTTGCCTTACAAAATCGACAGTTATGTTTTTTCTTCAAAGAGGATTTTTCTTCTTTCTCATTTTGTCTCCCTGTTGCCTTTTTAAACCAAGTCTTTACAAAAAAGACTTAAGGGTCCATTCTTTGTTGTCTACAAAAGTGCAGGAGAAGGGTCAGGGCCTGTGAGGGAAGATAGAGGATATTCAACCCCTCCCATCAAAGCAGAGCCCTGGACCCACTCCCTTCTTGAAGGGGCACTGCCTTTCTCAGAACAAGCTGCCTTAGGTCACGGCTCCAACCATCCTCTGTAGGACTTGCCCACCATCCCACTTTTGTTTAGTTTGAGCTTTGGACTGAGAGTCACAGCACTTTTTTGAAACCAAAGCAATTCTGCTGGCCTGCCCTCAACCACCACCCTGCCATACAGAGGTGAGGATCCCCGAGGTGTGAGTTACAAAGGCCTGGAAGAAAGTCTGGCAGAAGTTTACTTGGTTTTAATCCCTTGGGGCACCTGAACCTTGATTGCAACATCAAATTTGTGTTAGCCTAGTCCAGGTAGACACCGTTGGGAAAGACTGGAGGTCTTGAATGTCAAAGTTAATGCCGCCAGCCCAAGAGCATGTTCTCCTAACTGAATCCGAATCTGGAATGAGAAGGAGAAACTCTGATTTTGAGTTAGACATCATTTTAAGCATTGACTGCCAAATGGAGTTCTCCTGTATATACATCCAGACTCTTCTGCATAAAGGGAAGAGGGGGATTTCTCTTCCCCCACCGGGCTCATCATCCCACCACTTGTTGATCTGTCTCACAGTGCATTCACTTCCACCATCTACTTTGTGGTGTGCCTGTTCATATGGGTGTGTGTGCACGCAGCGCACGTGCGTTTGGAGTGGAGATGGCTCTGCTTCCTTCTAATCTCACTGTTCTCAGGGTGCCCCCTGCCTACTTTCTCCTGGTCTAGGGCAATGGTGTCTGTGGTGGGAGGTGCCCTTGGTGCTGCGAGTGACTCATTGGAATCGTCTGAGCCCTGGTCTGGATGCTGGGTTCTGACTTCTTGGCCCTGCCACTCTGAAGGGGGCAGGTTTCACCTCCTCGCTGTTGGGAAGAGTAGCGTCCTGATTGGGATTGTGTTTGTGCTCTAGTAAGACAGCAAGCCCTGGAAGGTGGCCCTGGTGCCAGGCGGCATCAGGGTTACAGAAGGAGGTGGCCTCCACGTTCTAACTCAGAAAATGTCAGAGCCTTTGAGGATCTATTGGAGTCTATATGGTCATGTCACACACCCTGCTCGCTTCATCGCTGAGTGAGCTGCAGAGAAGAGATGCCCAGTACATGCAAGGTGGCAGCATGTTGCAAGGTTCAGACAAAAACATGGAGGATGTGCGGCCTGGTCCAGGGCTTGCATGGTAAGATGCCCCATCTTCAGTAAGGTTGACCTATATCTTTTCTCTCCTCTTTGCCCCTTTCAGCTTCAACAGTGAGCACGGCTTTACCCCCATTGGAGATAGGTACGTTTCCCCACAGCTATCTCTATCAGTCATTGCACTCCATATACACAAGGATTGAGCTGAGTGTGCAGAAACTTTGGGGCTGGAAGCATTAGCCAAAATGTCCTTCCTTCCAGAAAATTATCAGGACACAATGTAAGTGGGGGAGCACATCACAGTCCATAGGCCAAGAATTCGGGCAGAATCTCAAAACACCTCTCTATGATTCTGCCCAAGAGGGACCCATCAAGAAACTCTAGGAATGTATGTACAATCTCAGAGTCATGGCACCTGGAGGGTTGGGTAAATAGGTTTTCTTACTGACTGTTGGGAAGATTGTTGGCTGATTCTGTGGAGTATGATGACATGGCCATTCTGGCCTGTTTCTATTGGGGCAGTGGCTTCTATAGTCTGGTCAGAAAGCCCCCAGGAAAACAATATCAGTGCCGGCATGGGACAGATGCATGTGCAACTCCCTGAAACCACAGCGTATTCAGGAGGGCCCCCTGGAGGTCAGCATGTTCCGCCCATGAACAGCATCAGCTGAGGCTGTAAATACATTGAGTATCCTCAGGCATTGATTTCAATTGGTACAAAACGAGGCAGTATATCTGACTCTTCACCTCTTTCTCACAGCTGTGACGAACTGGTCCACACCCTGGCCAGGTGAGTCCACAGCATCCTTACAAGGCTTTTTCCTTCCCTCCCTGCCCCCTCACCCCTCCTCCTTTCATTTGACATTCTTTTCTCTGCAGAAACTCGGAACATCTTGTTTCCTCCCGCTCTGTTCCCGAGCCTCCCAGTAGGCCTGTTAACTAGACGTTGAGATGCACAGGGTCCTGTCCTCCTGTCAGTCTGGCTGTGTTTTCATTAAACTCCTTTGATACTGCCCACAGCCGATAGCTTCCTGCAGGGTCAGAGAAATGGCCATTTGCTGCATGAACTTTGGCCCTTCAGTAGTCAGGGCTGACTTGACCTTTCTGGTAGAACTGAGCCTAAGAACCACTGCCCTTCTGTCGAAAGGAATGTCTGTGAGCACATCTGTCCTGTCCACCACTCTGAAATATTCTCAGCATCAGCAGGGCCACATCTGCATCCAGAGAAGAAGAGATCCTGATGGAAGGGACAGAGAAACCTTCCTACACTAGGGTGGGATTGT